CATTACTATGCAAACAAAATTCTATAGTATCAAATCAAACGGATAGACAATAATAGAGTGATTTGCTTGAACTTTTATATCATTATTAGTATCCCTAGTGACATAGTTCTGCTTACATAATTATAATTTACTCGTATGATTGCCACGCTAAGATATAAAAGTAAAGAATTTTCATTGGTTGATTGAGTTTTCGCCATTATTAGGTAAATAAAATTCTATAGCATGAAATCAAACGGATAGACAAAACTGTACGCCAAGTATGGCAAATAATATTTTTGATAACTTCTATGATTAGTTTGATCGGTGTGGGTTCAATAAAATCCGTTAAGGTTCACATTCTATACTGTTTAAAATTTCAAGCTCTAACCTAATTATTGTTTGCATACATATTACAATGAGGGGCGTAATATTGCATTCTTGACTAATCAAAGTTTGTATAAAGGTATTAATCCGACAACATAAGCAGGCAATCAGTACTGATTTAACGCAGTAACGATTTACTCATTTTTAAATATGTGAAGCACTTTCTAGTTATGGCTACAATAGGGATAATTATTGTAGATGTTTTAGCCAACCTGACTTTGATCAATACACATTTGCCATAAAGTTAATTTAGAATAAAAATATGGAAAAACTAATAACATGATACTTGAGATTACTTTCGCCTGTTTTCAAACCACACTCTCCAACCTAATCACTAATGCCATATTATTATATTACCGAGAATCAACAAATAGGTTAGGAATTGGTGACAAATATTTTCATCTTCATTAACGGTGCACAATAATAATCGATACGACCGTTAGCTGTAATAGACTCGGTCACTGAAACGTTGATATCGATTGTATGTCAGCAATATTTGTTGATAACTCATACGATATAAAGACCAGGTAATACTTAATTAGGTAAAACTATTTCAATGAAGAAAAGTTATTTCTATTTCGAATACTCTGGCATTGAAATTATTCATTTTAAGTAATCTATTTAAACATTGAATCTGTACTGACTCCAAAGTCAATTGCGATCTTATTTTTTATACAGGATATCAGCTAATGTAGATAAAGGATTTCATATCTGTAGGTGATTATCCATCAATTTATCAATACTTAATGCACGACCTTAACAGAATCCCGTGGGTACCACAGTTAATGAAAACGATACTATTTAAATAAGTATGTAATCTATTGTAATTGTTCGATTTCGGCCTACTACAAAGTGATAAATAAAATAATATGAAGGATGATCAGCAAAATGTCGTGACATGCTAATGCACCTCTTCCTTGACGACATATGTAATAAATAATTACTTATACTTGTTCACATTTAGAGCAAGTTAATTTCAATTCAGATCTACAGTATAGTCTTGCTGACTATATAACCAAATTTTTTATCATAGTGCTATTTTATCTAGGATAGATGATTAGTAATGATTGTAGATACGTAGTGAAGAAATAGTAGGCTTTAAAACAAAAATCTTTCAATACACACGTTCAATATTGTAAATTCAACACTGTATTAAATTAAAATAAATCACAAGTGAAGATTAAAAACTGGAACAAGGATTAGCGAGTAATATAAAGTTAAGAATGGAATTAAAGGCGTCAAACTTATAACAAACACATAGCATATAAAAAATAAAATACACGGAAGTAAATAAATAGAGAGAATTTGGGATGAACACTTTATAAGTTAATTTTGAATGATAATATCTATCCATACCAGTTCACTCCTGCTTGATCTATTAGGATATACCGAATAAGACGTTTTAATGAGTAATTCACAGTTCTTGAATCTTGATGCTCAAGCTAACGGTTTATTAATGGAGCTGATGAAGAAAAAGTAATTAGCGACTTTGTCCGTCAAAAAAGCGCCAAGAGTGAGATAGGGAAGAAAAGTAGAAAAACAAATTTATTCGACTGTCATGCGATCACATTATTGACTTTGAGTTTATTAATGAATAATGCAACAGCACCGTTTGCAAAGAAAGAAATAACAATCAATTATTTTCAATTGGTTGTTGAATTTGAGCTATTATCACGCAAATAAAATTAGAAATCAGGAAGGGTAGATTGACAATAGTTTAGAGCTTAATAGTTAGAGCATATCAAAGTTTTAATAACATTTATTGGTACTGCTAAAGTCAAACAAGTGGTGGTATATGGTTTACAAAGTATCTTGATCAGTTCAAGGCTTTCAATACAGGAACAGTATATATAGTAGGTCATCATCATCAATTATACGACTCGTAATTAATCGTTTGATTGCAATTCAGCTTGTTTAACAACTTGTTATTCCAGTCACAGAGTATATTCTTATAGGCCAATCTTTGTCAGTAAGGCACTTAGTATATCCAAAGCTGTTATCAAATTAAATTTTTCACTCTTACTCCTGTACATTGTCTACTTACAAACTAGCGACCCGTATATTGTTTTAGTCAGTTATAGTTTAGTAATTCCTTGTGTTTTTCACCGTCTTCTTGGATAGTTGACCATCTGTAATTAGTTAAAATTGACATTATCAATTCTACTTTAATACCTTGAATAGTATCTATCAAAGTCATTGTAATTAAGGGTAAAGCCATCCAAAATATTATACAGGATGCCCCTTGATCGATAATGGTGATGATAATCCTATTTCTGCAATGTAGATTACATCCAGTAACATATATTACCTGTCTGTTTACCTCTGTCATAATGATGCTGGTTGGCCTCTTCATCTTCCGTACCGACAGCGATGGCTGATTGCAAGTTACACTGCAAGAAACATCGAGGATAATTACACACGATAGAGTGAAGTCGTTGTCAATGCCTCTTTTCCATAATCCTATATTTTCTCAATATAAGAAATTGAAAGAATTAAGTGCCACTAATGAGAGAATGAAATCAAATTGCGCAGGGTAGTGATATCAACACCTGCACTTGATCTATATCGATCTATATCGATCTATATCGTCTACATTCTGCATCAACAGAGCAATCACTGGGATGCTATTAGTGTAAGCCAATCGACGTGTAGTTAACAGTGCTTAGCGATATTTTGGGGATGATTAGTTCATTCTGCATCTTCAATTGATGTAGTGTGGATAAATTGCCAATCAATATTGCAGCCTTACTTCTTTTAGTTATAGCAATACTCAAAACAGGTTGTGGTAATGTCTACGGTTCATCTTCCATTCCAATTATATTAGTACTGTCATAACTTACTTACCTTGTCCATGATATTGTAATATAATATATATATGATATATATGATATTGTAATATTGTATTATATTCTACAATATTCTATTCTAGATTGATGACAAGAATACGTATATTAATCTGCAGCTTCGCTTCTTGATCAACAATAGTTCATCGTAGGCATTATCAAACTAGCGAATTATACCGGATTAAAGAATTAGAAGTTATTACGAGATCGAAATGGATCTTTATTATGATCCTTGGATAGACATTCATAAGGTATCCCAAGATTAGTCTTGATGAAATAGAAGGTTTCTAGTTCCAAGGTAGCTCTTATGATGTAAGAAGCACAGCAGGAAGGAATTATTTATAGACATTAATAAGTGATAGCATAATGGACATTTAAATCGGACCGTAATATTGACCATCGTTACCTAGCTTATGTTCATTTTTATTTCATATCAAGTTTAGATATTCATAAAACAGCTGTATACTGTACATCTGATTGAAGTGATCATTTCCATTAATATTGATGTACGGAATGGAAGATATCGTAATACATTATGTATAAATAAAGTGTTTATTAGACAGTGGCTTCTAATAAGACAACTACAATACTCTATCAACTATTTTTATTCAGAATTCAATTAAGGTTATGGCCGGTAGCCTGGAAGTTTTCTTATTTAAATCATCACAATGGCTGCAATGGAGTCGATGAGATCTGCTAAATACTGAGTTCATTTACAATTCCAATCTTGCCTACTATTTGTTTTTTTCATTGACATGGTCAAAAGATCTCGATGGCGTTAAGATGAAAATGATTTTGTTCCATAATTCACTGTTTTTCGAACTCTTCTTCGAAGGTTAAGATGGGGAAGCGGCAGGAATATCTACCATGAGCGCTAAAATTCACAGTTCAGATGTTCGCAACCAAAATCTGCTCGAATTTATCCGATGAAGTATATACGGTACATAAGTAACATAACTCAACAGATCGATGGTTAGCTTGCATTGAAGATCTTATATCTTATGAGGATAAGATCTAAAGCAATCAACATTTATTCAATGCCACAAACTACAAATAGAATTTCAACTGGCTGCGCGAAGAAGCCAGAATTAACGGTTCAAAAATAACCTAAAACATCATCATAGCTCTGCCTATCGAAAAAGCTCTCATACAATGCTAAATTACTTTTTGACATGATATTTCTGTTGTAAATAGTCTTATTGCTACAATATTTTATTCATTTCTAAAACGTGAGAGTTGCTAAAATCAAAAAGTTTGAATTAAATACTGGTCATCAATCTCTAGTGTTAAAATTAAAATTTGCATGTTGAAGTAAGAATTTGTTAATTATAAGATACCAAATAATGATGCTCATAATTACAAAAGATATCTTTCTAGATTGCTAATTAATAGCGTTCAAGAGATATTTAATTAAATCAGAAATTACAAGACATTACATGCCCTATAGATGAAAAGCAGTAGTTAGATGTAGTTTGTATATAAGCAATTTATACAAAGGATTTTAATACATTCTAGTTTTAATCTATTCGTACGCAATGATTTGTGTCTTTTCTTTACTCAAGCACAAATCTAAATGGTATGAAAAAATCAATACACCAACAATATATCGATGAATACATATTGTCGAGAACACATAAATACAAATTTACTTTTTGGTATATAAGTTACCGCTAATCTTGCCAATTAAATTCATTGAAGACATCTTCGTTAAATAAGACGAATGCTTGAAAAGATCAGCTTCTTTTAGAATCGCATATTTGTATTATATAGATTCTTTTGCGTTTGAATTTTAACTTATTTATCTCGATTCAATATGGTTTCCGCGACCGAACGAAGACCACAAGCAAAGAGAGCCTCTACTAGTGCCAACTTTGTAAATGTTTTACCCTTTAACTTACAATGTGAATCGAGCATGTCTACACATTGCTGATCAGTATCATTACTGTTGTTTTGAGAAATTTTCTTAATGGCAGAGTTGGTGAAATCCAACTCCCTTGCTAATTTTTTCCAGTCAGGGCCTACTTTCTTAGAAATGATATTGATATAGGAGCTTGCAGCTACAAATTTACGGGTATTAACAATTCATTAAATTTCAATTTACTCTTACATTAAGCTATCCGTAAAGCATTTGTAAATTCATTTAATGCATACTACTAAGCACGATACAGTGATAGAGTTTAAAAAAATAAATAGCAGCAGGGTGACAAATTACATTTGGGATTAAGCTCAATAATGTAAGTAGAGTAAAAATGGATAATGTTAAATTAGTACGGTCATAAACTTACGCGAATCCGGGCTGACGATGTAAATATCTATTTTTTGACCTTCGATATCGTCGATTTGTCTAAGAAGTGCATTATTTCTACCATTTGCGTCTGTATTTTCTACTATCGCAGTCACAAGGATAAATATAAATGTTTAATAAGAGCAAACATAGCATTAAAGAAATTATCTAATGGCATGTCTTAAAGTAAGTTCATTAATTGGGCGGTACAAAGGCACATTGAATACATACGAAAGAAAACTAAAATCATTTCTGAGCTAATATAGCCCGATTTTATCGGGGTTGGTACTGTAGAGCTGTTTTATTTCAAAAGCATAAAGCATATGTACTCTTTTGGCTTAAATAATTCTAATATAGTGTGATTTAGATCGCGATTTTCGCGATCTATTAGACCTATTATAATAAATCTAATAACGCCCTTCAACCCCAAAAGTAAATAATTAATTATAATTATTAACCTTTCTTCAATAAACAAAGATTTCTACAGTTACAATTAATATCCTGTAACTGAGATACTAAGAAATTATTTTTGCTGAAATTATCAATAGATTAATGAAATGGAGTAGAGTGATTCATGAAGTGAAAATGAAAGAATTAGTTTCAGATGTTTATTGTCATATATTCGTTGTTTTGAAAGGCGCGAAGCATAAATTTATCATCACTTTACTATTCTGTTATTTACTGAGAAAATACATGAGTTATAATTTACCTGGAGCCGTTTCTGTATCCATCTTGTCAACTTCGTCTTTCGCAGGGCTAAGTTGTTGTTGACTCGATTTGGTCTCTGGCTTAGGTTTGACGATACTGTCTAAAATTTCAAGATATAACATAAATTTATATTCGTCAAATTTATAGCTCGGTGAAAATAAGTACTTTTGCATGACGATATTTTATGATCTTTACCACTCATACTGCTACTTAAAGATCATTTAAAGCAAACGCTAGTGATTAGAATATTTCTTATACGGATACTAAGAATACACAAATCATGTTACAAATGTAATGACCGGTATTTCTTTGTTTAACAGTACCATATAGTTTCTCTAATTTTTATGCATTTTCCTCAGAATCTGTAGTAGAATTTTAGCTGGCAGTTTGATAGCAAACTAGTGTACTATGTTCTAATCATCTTTTAACATACGATACATAATTTAAATACTTTACAACAAACTATAGGAATTTCAAATATTTCGCCAATACGGTCATCTTTACAAATGTTTTTGTAAAAGACTTGTACAGCAGAAGTAATATAGTACATTACTAAACGATATAAACCTGCTATATCGCAATAGCTTGGAAAATATTTACTGCTTGAAAAACAAAGATCGATGCATGTTCTAATAATTTTTTATTATTGCTACAAATCGATATTCGTCAAAGAAGAAATAAAATGCTTTTAGCAACTTAATATTAAAGCCTAGTAATAGATCTGTCCTCCCAACATCCCATAGAGTACAATTCTAAATATTAACAACCTAGCCATCGTCAGGAGGTTGTCATAAACTGCATGTCTCTTCTAGATAAACTGAGCCTCCTGATAAATTCATAACAGCTATAAGTTTATTATTACGTTACAATTATATTAAGTGTTGGAATTTCTATGATTAAAAAGGCTCATGGTCATTTAAATATCACTACAGCATAGTAGAACATTAGTACGGTACATAGATTATAATGTTATACAAAATTATTGATATGCCAAATAGGTTCATATCTTAAAAAGTTGTGTTGTTACTACTTGAGTATGTACTGTAATAAGGGTAC